ATTAGCACATGGATCACAACGAGTGTGACTTTTTATTCTTCATTTTGTTATCTGAAATCTGAATAGGTAATACATAATTTTATTATTTTTTTCATTTGGACATAATGCGATAATTGATTTGAAAGATATTTCTACATTTTAGAGATACTTCGTAGTTTTCGCTATGCTTACGACGTTTATGACAAAAACTATATTTTGTTTGGGTAAATCAGCTCTTTATCAGAATCGTGAATCAATAAAATATCGTATCAAAGTACACTTTTCGAGTGATTAAAAAGTCGTTATTATTTAATAAAATGTATTGTTACTTTAAAGTACTGACAAAGGAAACTAAAAATTACTATCAATAATTCTAAACCATATGAACATACATATTTCTAAAGGAATGATTTAACTTACTTGAGTATAAGATCAATGTGATAGACTGTTCAATGCCAGGTACTGTCTGTTGAGACACATGTTCGAGAACAGCTCGAGTTGGTCTCGGTAGTAATCCAAAATCACTACGAGGATCTGAGGCTTGTTCAGCCAATGAGTTCAGTGACCGACACTCCTGAAACATGATATATTTAGGGAACAAACATTTAATTTGAACCAAAGCTTTAAATTCCCGAACGCACCCAAAGTGACCTTAAGCAATGACATTTGGTTTGTTCAATTTTACGCGGGAAAATATTTGTCTATGCAACTTGTGTATTTATATATTGAACTTAACTTATTGAAGGTGTCTTGGTTTAAGATAATAGTTTTTTTCTAATTAAGGTTATGTGATTTAGAAGTACTGGCTTCACAAAACAACTATAGTTTTTAATTATATTGTTAGAATCAAAAATATACAGGGTGACTGGTGAATTACTATCAATATTTAAGGAGCATACTCGGTACATGATTCTCATTCGAATTATGTAAAAAAATAGGTACTTAATTTTTGACCAAATTTCCGTATAAATAAATAAAGTGTAGACACGTTCCAAGTGTTCCAAGTGTGGACGCGTGTGGCGGCGTGTTGATACAACACCACGCCGCGCGCGCGTGTGTGTGTGTGTGTGTGTGTGTATACCTAATCTGTAGGGTGTTCACACGATGCGCAATTAATTACATAAATTTTGGTTAACTTTACTTAGAAGTTTATTAATATTTATGTCATATTAATTTTTATTTTGTCATATATGATCGTCAAATATCACGTCCTCAAGTATCGATAGTAATTCACCAGTCACCCTGTATATGTGGTTAAGTTTAACTAAATGGCAGCACTAAACCGTTTTAGTTTGATCCTAAAACAAATTATACCTATGCTTTTATATGATAATCCTTATTAAAAATAAAGTGTTTATCCAAATAATGAATTTGGATGAATCAATTAATAACGAACACAATACAAACTATATGCAGCCAAAACCTCTTTAGAATTCAATGTATTCACCGTGCGGGTGCCAGGTCCATCGTTGTAGTGAGAGGAGCTTCAACAGTGTCTGTGACTTGCGACTCAGATGTAGGTTTAAAGGGTCCCTATCTAACGCGCATTAAACGCTCACCTCCACTGTCCAAGCTCCTCTCTCTACCTAACCAAATTTGAAAAGAACCTACAAGGACTGCCTTCGAAGTACGATCCAGGAATGAGTTAATGTGAGTTCTGGACAGGACCAAGTCATTTAGTAGGTAGTAGCCCTAGTAGGGCTGCCTTATAAAACACATATACTCACGATTCTATCAGCCACTATTTCGCTCTCCTGTATCACATACAACCGTAGATGAGCCGCGAACTGCATGACATCTTCCATAGTACGTAGCTCCCTTCTTAATGCGTAGTGCACGAGACGATCTAACGTTACAGCCTGCTGACATACATCCACTAGGCATGATAGGTCTTTGTAGATTTGTCTGGAAAATAATACAAAATTCATTACTAACTTTATTCATTACTGTTGTGTTTTTAATCCCCGACGCAAAAAAAACAGGGTTATAAGTTTGACGTGTCTATTTGTCTGTCTGTGTATGTGTATATGTCTGTCTGATGTAACGTAGCTCCCAAACGGATGAGCCGATTTTAATGCGGTTTTTTTGTTTGAAAGGTATATCCGTTGAGTGTTCTTAGCTATGTTTTTTAGAAATCGATTCATCAATCGATTCGCGTTTGTTAGGCGTGATAGGAATATTTCGTCCTATCCAGAATAGAATAAAACGAACTCGTCAGGTACTAAAAACTGCAAACTGTTTTTCTAGATGTTGTTCATTTACGCTACTAATTTGTTGAAACTTCTTTGTTGGAGCAATATAAATGTACAGGTGTTGTACGTTTTACAATCTGAATTCTTAAAATGCTTTATACCTTGTTATATTAAGCCAGTAGAGAATTTACCGAAATTAACATAAAGCCCGCAGCAGACAAATTATGTAATAAGAAGTTTATTTACTTTAAAGAAATTTTACTTTGGAAGTTTTAAGTCCATTGTTTATTTACGCTAAAATAATTTTGTTTGTTTTTCGATAAAATGTAAGTATCTAAATTATAAGTAAATTGTTCACAAATTCATAAATATTGTCTTAAAACAAACCAATAAGATTTCAACAAAGAAAGATTCAAATTAATTTTATCCATTATTTTATTATTAAGTTTTGTTTGTACAAAGTTAGGTTAGTTTAACCCTATCCATAACATTATGACAAATTCTATTTCAAGTCAGAGAATGTTGTTAAGTATGTTTCTTAAGCCAAATTGAATTTAGATTTAGTTCCTTAGTTCCCAAATTGTCTTATAGTCAAACAGAATATTATATTTATAGGTGGACTTCAAAGCAATACATTGCAATTCGATTTCAAGCTAGATGCTATTATAACTGTCCCCGATCTTTGCGTAGTGACAATTGTTCCTAAATATGTTTTTTCTTACGCTATGACTTCTACTCATTGGAATTGTTAAATATTTCGCCAATATCAACGTTTTTATTTGTTGAACGAATTATAATCTTGAAAACTGTTTGTAGAAGGTGTCTTTCAAACGGAATAAAGGCGTTTATCTAATCTTCTATATATATAAAAATGGATTGCTGTTCCTTAGTCTCGCTAAAACTCGAGAACGGCTGAACCGATTGGGCTAATTTTAGTCTTTAAATACTCCTGAAAGTCCAGGGAAGGTTTAAAAGGTGAGAAAAATTGGAATAATTGCCGGGAAAACCCTAAAAAAAGCCCTTTTCTATTTCCCATACAAACGTTTTTTTGACATTAGATTTGACAACTAACTAAAATGTCAATCTTTCTGTTTGATTGAAACAGGAAAAACCTGATTATTTATGGCCTCTAAGACGGAATAGAGTTCGCCTGGTCAGCTATACCTACATATATTACTCTTGACCAAACTAACGCGGACGAAGTCGCGGGCAAAAACTAGTGATATATATATATTTTTAAGACTAAATACGAAATCATTTCAATGAAAGTGTGGGAAGTCGTAAAGTTTTTTTTCTTTTCTCTCTTGATAGCTGCCTGCCAAATTCATAATACTGGGTCAACGGGAACATCCCAATAGGTTTTATATCGCTTGCCAGCGTCAAATATGAGAAATAAACGGAGCATAAATTTGACCGCCCCAAAGTAGATCATTCTCCTTGCCGCAGACATTTTTGAATATATGTTATAATAATTAATCATTTATAAGCCTCTAGTAACGATTACGGACACTTATTTCTGACCTAAATTTGTTAAATCAAATCCATTAGTAACATTAAGAACTGAGTTTAAAATTAATACTTCTTGACAGATTAAGATACATAGTTTAATTTCTGTAGCTAATATAAGCTGTGACGTAAAACGCAATATTTTAAATGTCATTTCCAGTCACATTTCCAGATGTAACGTTTACTTAAAATTTTAATAATGTTTTCAAATTAGTTACAAAATAGTATAAGGTAGGTATAAATATTATGATTAAAGTTTTGTTCCACAAATAAAAGAACTGTTTTCATTTAGAACGACGAAGTAGCAAAGATGGGGCATTATTTTTATGAATTTAAATTAGATATGGTCCTTAGTTTAACAAGGATTTCTAATAATGAAATGAGTAACATTTGCAATACTAAAAGGTAAAGTTACATATTTATGCATACTGAAACGAACTCGTCGGGTTTGATATGACACACTAAACTTTGTTCAAAACAGCAAAATGAGCGAAAAATACTTGATAACTCATGAAAAGCATCAAAGTATATAAAATTATATGTTGTTTTAAGTAATATCTACTGCTCTCTTATAAAATTTTCATGTTATTTCTGAGCAATATTCGCAAAATATATTTCTATAGTACATGTAATATTTAATTTAAAATAGCATAAATTTTTGATGATTTGTATTCAAGTTCATTTAAGTGAAAAACATTTTTTTATTTAATTTAATAACGGTTTCAAACAATATTACTTTTTTTTGTTAGAGATTTTTAATAAAGAATATTATTTAGAAGTTGACTGAATACTGTAAGGAAAATGAAATTTCTGTTATGACCGAAATGAAATTGTTATTAAGGAATTTGAAATTAAAATTTATTTTAATATTTTCAAATAATAATTAATTACATATTTATATATTTAAATAAGTTTTCTAAATTCCATTCTATAATAAAATTCACTTTAAGAGATGGCTATAACTTATAAGCGTATCAGACGTGGAATGTAATAATATTTTTAAAACACTCATATCTTTACAATTTATTGATCTTGTATTTTAATATAAAAAGAATAAAACGCAAATATATACTTTTGGTAACATTATAATTGTTAGGGTTAATTGTTTGTATTTAATTAATATTCATGAACTTGAGGACATCTTAAGTATCTTAGATAATTGGACGTGATATTATGACCATCTGACGATGTGTCGTAGTAAACAACGTCACCCATATGACCACAACAAATTTGATATCCATAATTGTAACAATATAAAGTTACCTAGGTTTACTGTGGAAGTACCTAGACTACAAAAGTATTTCTCTGCTATCACAGAAAACAATGCAGAGCAAACACCGGTATGACCGTATCGGCATGTCTTCGGAAGATGAAGCATCAATTCTTGATCCTGCCCCATCTACTCTACGAGACGGGGGACTGGTCCAAGAACGTAACGAACACCAACCAAGAGGGAATATATCACCAGGCAGGTGCAGAGCACGCACCGCCTGGCAGAATGGCCTTATCGGCGTTATCAGCTTTAATGACTGATGAGACGTGAAAATAATTTGAGGCTGTCATCAATTCTTATTAAAACTCATTAGTATTTATGATTATTGTTAAAAGTAAAACGAAATCAAATATTGTTTGAAAGGAGAATAGAACTAGATTTAAATCTTGGTATAAATATGACGTGTTCAGAGTTCAGTGAGTGCGTATCATTGAAGTATGTGATTATGAAGAACCTTCAAGAAATACAGGAATATTAAGAACAATTGAAGTTTCATTTTAAAATATCATGGAGCTTTAGAAGAAGTGACATTTGTAACGTCAGCGAGGCTGGCGTCTCTCTCTTAGAAAACAATGAATTTGTAATAAATCCGATATATACAAATATTTTACTTATAATAAGTTTTAATAATTGCAATTCAACAATTGACTATATCACATCTAATCTGCCCGTGATCACGGTTGCTGTAAAGTAGCCAAAACGTCGGGAGTATGAAGTTTATAGTCAAAAATAAAAACGCGTAGTAAATCCGAAAATATTAGTTTCATTTAATTGACAATATCATTTGATTTCATTGTTTTTTATACAATTTGAAATATATGTACATGTCATGTACTTAACATGTACATTTGTAAATTTCACCAAAACTATATGACAACAAAATTCACAGTGTAGACAAAAATTCAATATATTTGTGAGAAACCTATAATTCATAATTATCCAATTAAATTATGTTCCTTTTGAAAATTCGCTTTATTAATAACTAGCTGACCCGGCGAACCCTATATCTGTTACCTTTTATCTGAATAAAATTAATTTCTTTATTAAGTATAACTGACCCGACAGACAATGGTCCGTCTTCTTACTGTGATTATTGGATTCTTATTGGTATATTAATACATATAAACATTATTCCAAAAACAAAGTGTTTATTATTCTAATACTTTATTCTAACTACGTGATATTACCGCCAGTGGCATATTATTTTAACATAAAAGTGAAACATTGTAGTTATTTTCTTTTCTAGTAATTTTCGTATTTTTTTATTACATAAGAACCTTCTCCTATCAATAACAAATACATTATACAACAAAAAAAGAATCAGTGAAATCGGTCCAGCAATTCACGCGTGATGCCGTGACCAAGGGAAAAAGGTATTAAAATTTTTATATATGTACATACATAGATTGTTCCTCATTTCTCTGAATTTTAGTTTTAGCACTTAATAAATGCCCTGCGATTGAAAATAATTTCCATATGACAATCTTTCTTAAAGTAGCCCAAATGTGTGCAAGTTAAAAAAATCAATCTAAATGCTGAACAATTTCTTTTGCATTGAACTTGACGACAACTTTTTTAATATAATCCCTGCTTCGTAAAGGTCACTAATAGTTCCATACTATGATTTAAGAAAGAAGACACCAGGTTTAGAAGATTATATAAATACAGACAAATCAAATGTTTTTGATAAACCTTAGCATTAAGTGTCATAAAAATATAAATATGCATAAACGTATTAATACATATTTGGTTGGCAACTAGAATATTATCCGGGACTTTATTGTAAATAGTTTTATATGGTAAATTTCATATTTGGTCTGAAATTTGAAAATTGAAATAGTTTAAATATATTGCAATAGCTAAATATGTAGCAAGAATTCCACAGAGGTATATTTCCTTTATTTATATTACACAAAATTACTTAATATTATACAGAGTGGTTAACTAGAGCTGTAACGTTCATACAAATGCAATTTAACTATACCGTGTTTTTTAAACAGCTTATAGAATCTTACTTATACAATAATGAAAATAAAGGCATCTAATATCTTTCTTAACATATGTACATATATATTGGACGTTCTAACTCTTGCTAACCGACTTTGTTGTTGTTGTCCGATATGGCCTGGAGATTTTGAGTTACTATATAAGTATGAAACATATAATAACAGCTACAAAGAATCACTATCAGGATCTGGTTGTCCGATATGGCCTGGAGATTTTGAGTTACTATATAAGTATGAAACATATAATAACAGCTACAAAGAATCACTATCAGGATCTGGTTGTCCGATATGGCCTGGAGATTTTGAGTTACTATATAAGTATGAAACATATAATAACAGCTACAAGGAATCACTATCAGGATCTGGTTGTCCGATATGGCCTGGAGATTTTGAGTTACTATATAAGTATGAAACATATAATAACAGCTACAAGGAATCACTATCAGGATCTGGTTGTCCGATATGGCCTGGAGATTTTGAGTTACTATATAAGTATGAAACATATAATAACAGCTACAAAGAATCACTATCAGGATCTGGTTGTCCGATATGGCCTGGAGATTTTGAGTTACTATATAAGTATGAAACATATAATAACAGCTACAAAGAATCACTATCAGGATCTGGTTGTCCGATATGGCCTGGAGATTTTGAGTTACTATATAAGTATGAAACATATAATAACAGCTACAAAGAATCACTATCAGGATCTGGTTGTCCGATATGGCCTGGAGATTTTGAGTTACTATATAAGTATGAAACATATAATAACAGCTACAAAGAATCACTATCAGGATCTGGTTGTCCGATATGGCCTGGAGATTTTGAGTTACTATATAAGTATGAAACATATAATAACAGCTACAAAGAATCACTATCAGGATCTGGTTGTCCGATATGGCCTGGAGATTTTGAGTTACTATATAAGTATGAAACATATAATAACAGCTACAAAGAATCACTATCAGGATCTGGTTGTCCGATATGGCCTGGAGATTTTGAGTTACTATATAAGTATGAAACATATAATAACAGCTACAAAGAATCACTATCAGGATCTGGTTGTCCGATATGGCCTGGAGATTTTGAGTTACTATATAAGTATGAAACATATAATAACAGCTACAAAGAATCACTATCAGGATCTGGTTGTCCGATATGGCCTGGAGATTTTGAGTTACTATATAAGTATGAAACATATAATAACAGCTACAAAGAATCACTATCAGGATCTGGTTGTCCGATATGGCCTGGAGATTTTGAGTTACTATATAAGTATGAAACATATAATAACAGCTACAAAGAATCACTATCAGGATCTGGTTGTCCGATATGGCCTGGAGATTTTGAGTTACTATATAAGTATGAAACATATAATAACAGCTACAAAGAATCACTATCAGGATCTGGTTGTCCGATATGGCCTGGAGATTTTGAGTTACTATATAAGTATGAAACATATAATAACAGCTACAAAGAATCACTATCAGGATCTGGTTGTCCGATATGGCCTGGAGATTTTGAGTTACTATATAAGTATGAAACATATAATAACAGCTACAAAGAATCACTATCAGGATCTGGTTGTCCGATATGGCCTGGAGATTTTGAGTTACTATATAAGTATGAAACATATAATAACAGCTACAAGGAATCACTATCAGGATCTGGTTGTCCGATATGGCCTGGAGATTTTGAGTTACTATATAAAGTATGAAACATATAATAACAGCTACAAAGAATCACTATCAGGATCTGGTTGTCCGATATGGCCTGGAGATTTTGAGTTACTATATAAGTATGAAACATATAATAACAGCTACAAAGAATCACTATCAGGATCTGGTTGTCCGATATGGCCTGGAGATTTTGAGTTACTATATAAGTATGAAACATATAATAACAGCTACAAAGAATCACTATCAGGATCTGGTTGTCCGATATGGCCTGGAGATTTTGAGTTACTATATAAGTATGAAACATATAATAACAGCTACAAAGAATCACTATCAGGATCTGGTTGTCCGATATGGCCTGGAGATTTTGAGTTACTATATAAGTATGAAACATATAATAACAGCTACAAAGAATCACTATCAGGATCTGGTTGTCCGATATGGCCTGGAGATTTTGAGTTACTATATAAGTATGAAACATATAATAACAGCTACAAAGAATCACTATCAGGATCTGGTTGTCCGATATGGCCTGGAGATTTTGAGTTACTATATAAGTATGAAACATATAATAACAGCTACAAAGAATCACTATCAGGATCTGGTTGTCCGATATGGCCTGGAGATTTTGAGTTACTATATAAGTATGAAACATATAATAACAGCTACAAAGAATCACTATCAGGATCTGGTTGTCCGATATGGCCTGGAGATTTTGAGTTACTATATAAGTATGAAACATATAATAACAGCTACAAAGAATCACTATCAGGATCTGGTTGTCCGATATGGCCTGGAGATTTTGAGTTACTATATAAGTATGAAACATATAATAACAGCTACAAGGAATCACTATCAGGATCTGGTTGTCCGATATGGCCTGGAGATTTTGAGTTACTATATAAGTATGAAACATATAATAACAGCTACAAAGAATCACTATCAGGATCTGGTTGTCCGATATGGCCTGGAGATTTTGAGTTACTATATAAGTATGAAACATATAATAACAGCTACAAGGAATCACTATCAGGATCTGGTTGTCCGATATGGCCTGGAGATTTTGAGTTACTATATAAGTATGAAACATATAATAACAGCTACAAAGAATCACTATCAGGATCTGGTTGTCCGATATGGCCTGGAGATTTTGAGTTACTATAGAATCAAAGTCGTCAGTCATATTGACTCCTTCTCTTCTTCCTTGCAATCTTTATCTTGTTCGTTCTTTTCTTCACCCGGTTCATGCGCGTCGTCCAATTGATCCTTTGAAAACAAAAACAATATTTTTTTTGTGTGTAATAAATTTTGTCTACAGCGCTAAAGTCAATGATCTTTCGTTTCGGGAACATAATTCTATCTATCCCTTTCCCACACCTGGTTTTCTTCGCGTTCAGAGACATCTTTCTGTCCCTCTCCCTCACCAAGTCCCATACCGCTGTCTCCAGTAGTGCCTTCTCCCTCACCCTCCTCTGAATCTAGTTCTGAGCGTTGGCAGAAACTGTAAGGAAATAAAGGAAGTTTCAATTTATTACTTGACTAAAACATTCTTAAACAATAACTTATTTAAGGATAATCGTAAGTACAATCTGAATTAAAAAGCTTCAGTGGAACAACTTATTGAAATTATCTAATTTGTGGCAATAAATGAAAGTTTTTATAATATTTTATTAATTTTCTGTACTTTAGATATTTATAAAGTTTTATATTTAAATGCAATCCCAACTTATTCATTTTAACATTGTGGTATATTTAATCTAAATTATATCGATATAATTACCCTTTCGATGCCAGATCCAATAAAATCTTCAAAAGCACTAACAGCATTTTACAGGATACTCTATGCACAGCAACTTTTTGGGATACAAAATATTGGACAAATAGTATAACTTGCTCCAATATCGGGACCAATCTCATAACAACAGTTCTAGCTTCTTCCACATCAGACCGAGTCGCAATATATTGCACATAGTTAATCAAAAGTTCGCGCAATTTCTTGAATCAGTGGACATGTTCTCTTGGAGTAATTCTTTTAAATGATTATCTTCTAAAATTTCTTTGGTTTCAACTTTTACACCTTCATGTATAATTTCATCAATAGCGTTTATAACGTCCATATTCTCCGCTTGTTTCTCTGGCGGCAGATGTTTTTTGTACAACGATTGTATCACGAGTAACATCGTAGCCACAACATCTTCAGTCTGCTCTAACATTGTGCCGTCAGTTTCATCCATTTCTTGGTCTATCGGTTCATCCAATTTATCAAGTTCTGTTTTTATATCTTTAATGTAAGCCACCATATTTTCAAGGCTTCTTAGTATTGGATGATGCGGTGGAAGTCTTCTATGACCGTCGTTTTGAAAACAAACTCATATTCGGTAATAATTTCCTCACTTTTTTCTATTATAACGTCCAAATTATTCTTAACTTCTATATGACTTTGAGAAACTAGAGGTAACTTAATGGATTCTTCGATTTGTTTTAGGTTTCGAGATAATTTGTTTAACAGTGCCTTTTGTTTATCAACTAGAGATATAATTGACTTAATTTTTTTATTAAGAGACTTCCATTCATCGCTATCCTTGAAACAATCAGCCAAAGGTGAGTTTGATAGCACTTTGTCGAAATCTGGCTCAGAATCAGTATTCAAATGTTTTTCCGGAACAGACTTCAGAACGACATTGAACTGTTCTAGAAGAATGCTCGTATGAGCGTAGCATTCCACTAACACATTGAGTATTTCTTCAAGCGAAGTTATATTACATCCTGTAGAGTCTATTTCTAACGCGTTTGTAAGACTTGTAGCTACGGTTCGTAAATCGAAAATATGTTTCGTATAACGCGAAATCGACTTCTTCTGAGTTTTAGCATATTTCTGGAAATAAAATGTATATACTTAAAATTTTAGCACAAATTATTATTTAACACTATTTATAATGTCATGGAATATCAATATAATGCGGATTTAATTTCTATTTCTATTATATCATATAACTGTTACACTTTTAACAATACACTTATAGCAAAAAGAAATATAAATATATACTTTACAAATAACAAATATTTATGATCACACAAAAACATGGACAAAGTCGAATGCTTTTGTTATATAGTTGTAAATACCTGTTTTTCAAATAGCTCATAGCGGCATCCCAATCGACGGGTAGTATTGTGAAATCATACATGTATAACGAGACCCGTGCGATAATTCAAGCCGATTTTGTTCAAATATTTGAACAGATCTGATAGAGCTTTACGCTTCTGCTGCGTTATGTTTTTGGCTTGAGATTTTTGTTTGTCCTTCGGCAATGTTGAATCCACCTACAATATAGAGTATTATTATTAAAATGTTTTGTATTTGTTACAATCTTAGCAGTAACAGAAGACATTTTTTTCGGATATAAGTCTAATTTTTAGAAATTATCTAAATGAAATAGAAATGACAATTCACATTTATATAAGAACCAATATAGAAATTGAAACAATTTTACGTGTATAAAATAAATATTCGTTATACATAGAATTTAAAAAAAGAATTACCTCCAAAGATCCTAAATGTTCACTTGTCTCTATAACCAAGGCTACAAGGTCGTCCAAGCATATAGTAGCGCGGGGTAGCCCGTGTTAGCGATGCTGTCCTTACAAAATGTTCGAGCTTTGTTCAGCAGACTCGGAATCTTTGCCAGGAGGCTGTTCACTTGTATTAATTGACAAGGCTGTTCGAGCTGGTATTCGTATTCCTGTAAAAGGGAATTCAATTATTAAAACATTATTGCGTAATGCGTATGTTGCATATTTATAACTGTAACTAATGTTTTTTTTTTAAAGACAGAAAGAATGCAATTGTTGCTAGCTACCTTTACAGCAAATAAAACAGAAGACAGGCGAAATCATTCATAACCACCCAATTCTTTTATCATTATTATATTTTAAGTGTAATAAAAATGACGTGTTTATATACCTTAATGTTCTGTTCAGTACTACATGGTTCTGAAGATCTATCATATACGCTCCGCCCGCGGCGTTGCTTGCAGTGCCAGCCCTCTTTGGTCTATCCCAAATACCCACGTGGTCGATAGACTCACTCGCCGTGTCCACGAGACAACTCGATACACTGTCCTTTAGAACTTTCTGTAGACAATTTTCAAAGTAGGATATTTACTCACACTTCACAAACACATCAATTACATAAGATAATATAAGATGATAAAGTACACAATAATGGTTTATATTACAAACATTGACCTAGAAATTATCGAAGGAATTTATAAATAAAAAAAAACATGGAGTCCCTCCGTACGGAAGAAGTGAAAAATAAAAACTTGTATAAATATCAATTTATAGTGAACTCATATTGTTTCTTTAAGACAAACTTAATAAATATTGCTCACAATTCACAATTGATCCATTCATTTACTATCGCTCCGTCTCTTTCTATTCCCCCTCCCCAGGAGCGTTGAACGTTTAAGGCAACCTTGTTGGAAGTAGCATTAGACTCTTCACTACAATAAATATGTATATCAATATGGCTAACCTTAAACTCCTTGGTGTGTTTGTGTAAAGCTTTATGAGCCTTGTCTACTGCGTCCTTCACACTCCAGTAGCTGAGGTCTCTGTCCCAGGTGCAGATTTTGACCAAGTCCTTAAACTTCTTTTCTATGGGCGCACGCTTTTCTTTAATATGTGAAGCCACTTGTGGAGCGAATTGACGATAGTAATTGCATGTATTCCACAACAATGATAGGAGTGCAACTAAAACAGAACATATATAGATAGAAGTAAATTATTGGATATTGCAGAAGACCCACAGTAGTTGCAGTATAAGATATAGATTAATAAACTGAACCTGACTAAACTTTTAGGAAATTAGGGTGATAAAAGTACGTATGTTTTTTTTTTATGTAAAAGGTGGCAAACGAGCAGACGGCCCACTTGATGGTCAGTAGTGACCGTGGCCCATGGACATCCACAACATAGACGTTGCGGATGCGTTGCCAACCATACTTGTGGAGGAAAAGGGACGGGTGGGAATAAGGAAATATAAGGAAAGGTTGGGAACAGGGAAAGGGCAACCGGCTTTCTCACTCATCGGACGAAACGCAGTCATTATTGACTACTTCACGCCGATCTTCTCTGAGAGGGTGGTACTTCCCCGGTCGAGCCAGCCCATATTTGAGCTGTAGTAACTAAACTACAGCTAGGCCCTACCACCTATAAATATATGTCGTCCAAAAAATTTAAAAAGAGAATAAATTATCTATCTACGAAAAAGATATCAAGTGTAGTTATTTTTGTTGAAATCTAATAAATAAATAACTTACTATAAACTATTCACTATAATTATTATTTCTAAAGCTCTTTGTAACATATACATATTACTTAACCAATGAATCTCACCGCGTCTTTGACCGGCGTCCAGATGTATTAAGTGGCAGTGATACTCATAAACAATGTCCAATCTCACATCGAACTCCGCCAGATTGGACTTTTCCATGAAATCTTTCAACACGGACACGACCCGCGCCGATGACATATCAGTCTCCTCCAAGTAAGATGTTATCACCGCATACATATAGAACCAGTATTTATGAGCTTCGGCCTGTTGTCTGAAATGTTAATTAAGTATTATCCAAAACAGTTAAACTTTTAATACCTACTAAAAGTTATTGTTCAATAGAATAGTTTTATGACTATCTTATTCGTAAGTAGACCAAGTTGTAGTAAGAAAAAACATTATTATAGAGAAAGATTAATACTGGAATAATATTATATACTAAGATTATTTTGTAATGAGATAAGTAGTTCTTACTTCATAATATGCTAAAAGCCATTCAAATTTTGTGACGTCTAAGTCAAGAAATAACATAATTTTCACCTTTGATACAAGTTGTTAAGACCCTCCTTCCAATGAGTCATTTCCAGTTTCCTCCAGTTAATGATCTGTTGTCCTACATATATATCCAGCCAGTGATATATCAATCATATTGTTTCCTTTGTGGGCGTTTTTTCCATTCTTCAATTTTATCTCTAAAGAGTTCCAAACCTGTCAGGAATCTCGACACTAGACTGGTAATCGGAAAGCCGATTATTCTGTCTACTATTATTATAATCTAGAAAGATAAAAGATATACTAATAAATCATATATCATTTCGATATTGGAGAT